CCCCAGGGCTGCAAAGAGCCCTTTTTACTCTGCTCTCTAAATAAGACTCAGAAGCAAATTGCCAGAAATGAGAAAAACGGCAGTAATTTTGCCATTTTATACCAAAGCTCAATGGCGTCGTGTGTGTGTGTGTGTGTGTGTGTGTGTGTGTTTGAGTGTGTGTGCTACATGGTTTTTCTAGTTATATAAAAATCAAGACTTTAGGTTACTGGAGATGAAGATAATTGAATATGTTGACTATTCTGCAGAACTCCTTTGTCTCTGGGAACAGAAAAAAATCTAGACTTATTCTGTGAAGGAGAAACTCATATTCCATATGGGAATATTTCTCTCACGTTCATCAAGCCATATAGGAGACTGGCAAAAGTATCGATCCAGGCGAGGTGCATTTTAGGTCAATACACACTGTGGTGAATTTACTTCTTCAAGTAAGGAGGACAGCTCTCTTGGTCACTGGGAACACCAGCTGCCTGCTGGGAAAGTCCGTCATTTCTGAGCTTTGAGGGAAGGTGCTAAAATTCCACCATGGCAAACCCAATTCTCAAGGACAGGGCCAAGGAGCCCAGAACATTAGTCAAGACATGAAAACACAATCAGCTGTTCTGAAGTAACACTCTTCCAATCACAGGCACATTCCAGGTGTTGGCAGGAACCATTTTTCAGCCTGTCAATGTCCTTAAATATGTGGGAATGAAGGGAAGGTGGGGAGGAGGAGGGGAGCTAAACGTTTGGGCTTCATTTATCTTGATGGATGACATTATTCAAGAAAGAGCTTTTACCTTTACACTTGGTAGAAAACCAGAAGCCAGGCCAAAGATAACACTACATTTGAGCAGCACTTCGGTTTACAAAAGACCTTCACATTTATTGTGCTTTCATGATCTTGCCTTACATTCTCAAAGTTTGAGTGGGAGAGGACCCATCACCCCCGTTGTGCGACCGAGGGACCTGGAGTCCTTAGAGCCTTCCTGGGGTGCTTGGCAGGTCAGACAGCCCCCAGCTAAGTCCCTAGAGCCCCAGGGTTGAGCCAACACCCAGCCGCTCGGGGACTTGGGTTTCCACATCCTTAAAATGGGATGCTTGGAGGAGCACTGAGGCACCGTGTGAAGCAGTCATGGTGCTGAGGAAGGAGCATGGGGTCTGGAGCCTGAGGACCTCTGTGTGGATCCTGGCTCTGCCTTCCACCAGCGTGATACCCTGGACAAGTCACTTAGCCTTCTGGGCATCTGTTGCCCACCTCTGAAAAGAGGGATGATAATCCTCATCCCTTGCTGCGTTGTTGGGAGAATCCGTCCAGAGGATAGATGTGAAAGTCCAGGTAAACTGTGAAGGATTGAACAGGTATGGTTAAATTCACAAAGGAAAGGTTGTCGGTTCTGGAAAGGTGCAGAAGGACCTGCTCTGAATTCAGCAACCCCACACTCACGCAGGCTGATGCAGAGTTGGAGACAGGCTGGGTGGTCGATTGAGGGGCGGTGGTGAGGACCATCACCCGACAGGCCTTAGTCTCCAAGGCTGAACGAGACGGGGTGTCCATGGAGGTGGGGGCATGGGCAAGACCTGAGCCTGGGCACACAGGGCTGTGGAGAGACGTCTGGGGTCCAAGGAGGCGTTGTCTGCTCTGGGTCATGGGGCAGAACAGGGCAGCTGCGGATGTAGAGGTGTTCAGCAAATCAGCTTGGCAAGGATTAGAAATCTGTGGTTCTTGAAGGCATCCACAGGGAAGGGGAGAAGAACAGGAACCGTGTCTCCTCACCTGGGCCTGCTGAATACTCCTACTACAGACAGCACCTGCTGGGTCCCTGCTCCATGCCCCAAGGGCCCATGTGGATCCAACACTACCTGACCCTGAAGGAACTCACAGCTGGGTGGGAGCAAATGCTGTGATCCCACAGGTAAGCGTGGTAATAAAGGCGCTTCTCAGATTCTCGGAATCCCTGTTTGAAGGATCGCAGGGGGGGGCATTGAACTGGGCCTTGAAGGCTGAGTCTGTTTTACCACTGGACAGAGGGAGACCGTTCCAGGTAGAGGGGCAGCAGGGCAAGGGTGAGGGGCACAAAACAGGTTCTTATTCATTCATCCTTCCCACCCCCCACCCTCCACTGAGTGCCCAACTCTCCATGGGCCCAACCAGCAGACTAGGGAGAGGTCAGTGTGGCTGGCTGTGTGTTTGCCCAATGGGGGGGAGGGGTATCAGTGGGGAAGAAGGTGGGGGATGGATCCTGAGGGCCCTCCCAGGGAATGGGCTCATCCTCTCAGCTCTACGTGGGTGTCTGAGCCCTCCAGGCTCCCTGGCTGTGCCCCTCCTCTCGGAGGAAGGAACCATCTGCTTCTGCTATTGCTTTAATTCAACCGATGAAGTCAGCGGCCAGTTACCAGACGGGGTAGGCACAGTGGGTCTTCCTGTTAGGAACCGAGGGGTGGGAAAAGGGGGAAAGGGACCCGGTGGTCACTACTGGCCTCATAAAATGGCAGCCCTGCTCCCAATCACCAGGGGCTCTGTGTCCTGCTGCTGTGGGTCTTGGGGCCTGCCTGCAGAACTGATTCCCCTTCTAGGACGGTGGTGGGCAGAGTCCTGCCTCAAGTTGACAGACCCAGTGTGAGAGGACTCCCCCCTCCCTGAGAGCAAACATGTGACAAGAATTCAACCTAATGTTTTTCCTTTTCTCAAAAAATTCATTGTGCTTGATTGGTTTTTGACCTGAAAACTGCACTCCACTTGGGCAAGGGAAGACTTTCTGAAGATCGACTTCAGGAAAGAGTGTCAAGTCGGAGCTTTGCTTTGGAGACTCTTTGCTCTTCCAGCTGATACCGTGTGTGCCATGACACACTTCCTTGGGCCTCCAGCTGTGAAATCCATTTGCTCTGCCAAAGGGCAGGCATGGGGGCTTCAAACGTTGCTTCTCACAATGGACCATTCAGGATTCCTGACTGTCCCAGCCCATACCACCAGACTGTGACCTGAGAGAGCCCGGGGGACCGCAGGCAGCCCCAGAGCCAGGTAGACCTGCTGGGGTGTGTGCTTGGAGCTAGATCCATGTCCCCAGGGACAGGGAGTGGCCAGACAGTCCTGGTCCACACCTGTGACCTTCCCAGCCTCTCTTCCTCATCTGGAAATGGGTAGTGCATTGCAAAACTGCCTGAGGGAACTGAAGACAGACCAGGGACACCTCTAAACGCCCACATCGGAGGAGCTCAACACACATCAGGAGAGCCATCCTGCCCGTCCTGTCTTGGGTCACCTATCCTCCATTCTGCTTGGAAAAATAAAGTCATTATAAGTGTCTGATGTCACCAAACAGACCAGGGTGGGCTCTGCAGGGCTGGGTTCCAGGGCCCTTCTTGGCCGGGAAGGGCAGCGGGTTTTGCCCCACACCCTGGCAGCAGGTCACGGGCATAGCGTGGAAGCCATGCTGCGGGGAAACAGACTCTGCTCCTTGAGAGGGCGGGCTCCTGGCAGGCAGAGGGCCAGGCAAGGCTGAGCACAGGGGCCCCTCTCTAAAATGACTTGCCAGCAGCTGGAGGAATCTTGGATGGATAACCTTCTCTTTGGGTTTAAAATGCTCCGTAGAGTGTCAATTCAAGCACCTAATTTCCTCAGATACCTTTTGTATACCTGTTACAGACCTGGTGTTGGGCCTGGAGTCGACTGCTCCTATTGGTTTGAATAAAAGGGACTTGGATCAGGAGACAGGGTAGGATGTTGGAAGGAAGAAGAAAGACATATAAACTTGCCTGAGACACTCTTTTGCCCCCATGACCTACCCCCTTGCCTGCACTTGTGAGCACTTTCTAAGCCCTCTTGTGTGCAGGCACAGTGCTAGTGCCCCCAAGACTTTCCATCCTCTTCACTTAGAGCTCTTCCCAGGGCCCTAAGGATCCTTGACAGGGGACCCTCAGCAAAGGACTCCATTAACCGCGAATCCAACAACGCTCTGGAGTGCTTGGCTTTGTAAGGTGCTGTCTGCCTGTAGTCAATGGGCCCTGGACCTCGACTTGCCCATGGCCATTGCCAAAATGCCACCTTCAACTGCCTCTGAGGCTTCGCCTCTGAGGGAGGGCTGCCTGGGAACACAGATGTAGACAAGGAAAGGGTCTTACGGAAGGCCAGCTCTGTCCCTGACACCAGATCTAACACCTGAGCTTTGGACACACACACATGCTTGCTTCCCCTGATAACTATCCAGGGCTTGTTTCCTCCCCTCTGAAGCCCCCGCCTCTCACCCAGGGCTCCTGGCACAGTACTGGCACACAGGGGCCCCTGGCAGTGCTTATCGTGGACTGGCTGGCCCTGTGGCCAGTGCCCTATCCTGGTAAGGATCCATTCAGACCACCCGGTCAGGAAGGTTGAAGAGGGAGTTCCTGCTTTGAGGTCAAGGTCAAACACAAACAAAATGAACTTTGAGACTCTTGCCAGCTCTGAGGCCCCAGGAGCCTTACTTAGTTTCTCCTCAATTAATAACAAACCAAACTGCAGCAACAGGCAAGCTAATGAAATAAGTGGGGATGTTCTGCTCACTACTCCCATGTAACGCATGATGGGGGTGGGAGCTTTGCAGACGCTTGCTTGATGGTTCCACTTCCTTCTTGCAGAACGGGTGGTAGGAAATAAACATGATGCTCTGGGGCATTAACCAGTAGGTAATTAAGGCTCCGGAAGACCCAACGCTCAGCTTCCTTGCCACAGTTCTGGGTCTTGGGATTGTTTGTGCCACAAGCCCCAAACACAACAGATTTGCCCCAGTTGGTGCTTCCCGTGAGCCCAGAATAGAAGGTGCCATATGTCATGTTTGAGATGTCATATGTCCACTGATGACTTGGAACCAGGGTGGATCACTGGGAGGAAAGCAGGCAAGAACCCGTCGGCCTGGTGAGCGTCCTCAGCTGAACACGGAGACAGTCACAGGACCCTCAGCAGCCTGCCGCTCCTCCACAGTCTGGATGCCCGGACTCGCCAGCACTGAGGGCCATGCTCTTTTTCTGGGAGGACAGAGCGGCCCTCAGGATAGAGCGTGTCTGGGATGGGAAAGCTTGTTGGCACAGCCTGTGCGGGGTTGGGGGTTGCCCCCCGCCGGCTGGGCCAAGGAGGAGGGCTCCTGGGGAGTGCCATTGTGAGGGGGCCGGCCCCCTGTCAGGCCGCTCCGGCCACACACCAGGCGCTTTTCATCCAGCAGGGACAGGTGGTATTCGCACAGGTCAATCAGCGAAGCCACCTGCTCACGGAGTGGCAGCATCTTGTACTTCCTCTGAGCCAGGAAGAAGAAAGCCTCTACGAATGCCTGCAGGCACATCCCTGTGAACAAAGAGACGGTGTGAGGGGGTGCCCACAAGCTGCCCCGTGAGCTGCCCGCGGAAGGCCCAACTCTAGCCACAAGCTTCCAGGGAGAGCCAGCTCTGCTCCATCACTGTTTCTATTCTGGAAACTCCTAAGAAGTTAAACCCCCAGTACTGACCTTGCCAGGCATCAGCCAGGCATTTTATACCATGTGCAGATGCAATCCCTCACACAGTGCCGTTAAGCAAGTTCAATTAACCCTGTCTCACAGGTGAGGAAACTGAGTCTCAGAAGTGGAGAGACCTGGGGAAACTCAAATGGGTACGGAGTGGTGGGGCTGGGATTTAGAATTAACCCAAAGCCGAGTCCCTCAGCACCACACTGAAATGTCCCATGAAAATCCAGCTCCCTACCTGTTCTACTAAGGGAACAAACTCGATCTGTAGCAATACTCTAGCTGTGACCAAGGGATTGGCTACACGGGTGCATGCACTTGTCAAAACTAGAATTGTACCTTAAGGTTCATGAATTTTGCTGTATGTAAATTTGACCTCAAAAAGTAAAATAGACCCAACCATCTTCTCTCTGGCTGCAGTGATATTCTGGGTCACATGAATAGTCATCCCCACTAGGCCCCTGGGGTGCTCTTCCTCTGTGTTGCCTTCTAAGCTCCCACTCACCTTTGAGATCTCAGCTCATAACCACTCGTTCAGTAAAACCTTCCCTGATCTCAGATTAGACCCAGCCCCTGGGACAGGCTTTTGGCCGTCTCTTTGCACCCACTGCAGTATGTTCCATGTCTATGTGGTCTCTGTGCTCCTGGCTGGACTGCAAGCTCTAACCATCACTGTACCCAGAGACAGATGCCAGGTTCTCAGAGACACGGTGAACACATGAGTGGGTGAATGAATGAATAAAGGAATTAATAAGAGGCACTTTACAGACATTGACACCAATCTTCACAATACCTCTGTGAGGTCGATATGATGCAGCCCACCTTACAGATGAGGAAACTGGCACTCAGAGAGATTAAGCAGCTTCCCTAAGATGGCACAGCTGGAGAAGAGTGGCCACAACTTAGTTGAAAAACTTGACTCCCAAGTTTTTCAACTAAGTTGTATTCTTGGAGTCTTCCCAATGTCCAAGTCAAAATGAACCCTGGGACCTCAGCCTACAGGGCTCCCTGGGCTCCTTGGCAAAGGTGACACTAAGGCCCAGTGGAATGCCACACAGCATTTTAGACAAAGTGCTGCTCTGACTCTGCTAATCCACATCTTCCTGGTAGCCGATGTGTAATAATACATCATCTCCTGGCGGCACAAGCAGAAGCTTGGCCTAGAGTTTGTGGGTGCTGGTCTATATGGGCCCTGGGATCCAAGAGCTCGTTTTCCCTTGGGAACTTGAGCAAAGAAGTGGTGTTTTGTCTCAGTCTGAGTCCATCAGAGCTTTTTGGCTTGGCTCTTGACTCCAGACGTCATGCAAAGTTCCTGCTGTGCTCAGCCTTGACAGGAGGAGTTGATAAACAGCACAGTAACCCTGGTGTGAAACCCTTTAACGTAAAGAGGCCAGTGTACACAAAGACACAGGGAAGTGGGGCCCTCCTTCTAACTCAAGAGACGGATGTTTCTTTTTCTTTCTTTTTTTTAAGTTGGAGTCTCACTCAGTTGTCCAGACTGGAGTGCAGTGGCACGCTCACGGCCACCACAGCCTCGACCTGCTGGGCTCTGGCGATCCTTCTGCCTCAGCCTTCCAAGTAACTAGAACTACATCTGTGCACTACCACGCCTGGCTAATTTTTTCAATTTATTGTAGAGACGAGGTCTCGCCAAGTTGCCCAGGTGGGTCTCGAACCCGTGGGCCTCAGGCAATACACTCACCTCAGCCTCCCAAAGCGCGGGATTACAGGCTGAGCCACCGAG